TCAGTACCTTGGTCTGGTGGTCTGGTGTCCTCTGAGTCTTTGTAGTGTGGAACCAGGTGGCTGCCTGTCTGCAGCAGGGTGATTCGGTGTCTTCCACGCAACTGGGCACCTCGGTAGGGTGTGCACAGACCTGCCTGTCTGCAGCGGGCTGATTTGGCATCTTCCGCGTGACCGCCTGTTTCTACTTTAATAGAATGAGTATTTAATCAGCAGATTTCTATGTTGACTGGATTTGTTAGGATAAATGTTTAAAACTTCCAAAGCAAATGGATTTCTCTCTTATATTTTACTGACTTTTGTCCAAAGAGATAAGAATTCCCTATTACAACGTATCATATGGTTTTTGCTTGTTATGAAATATGACACAGGCTCCAAATGATATGCAGTTTTGAGACATATTTTTGCCATATTTTACCACTATAGGTCCCATGTTTCAACTGAGCAGAAAAATAAATTGGATTCCATGTTGGTGACAGCATTGGTTTTCTTTAAGATGAGGCAGGAGGTCATATCTGACATTGTGGCAAAACAGAAATGAGGAAGGAAGAGTCTGTGGAAGCCACTGTGGAAAACGGGGAGAAGACTGATTACAAAACCCTAACGCGAATTCCAGAAGAGATCTCCTCAAAAAGCAGCACACTGGAGAAATTTGGAATTGCAGCAGTATCTGGTCACACAGGAAGTGAATAAGGCAGAGCAGAGTTTCCTTCCTCCACCAGCACTGCAGATGTGCCCAGACTGAGGTTACAGAAGGTCAGCAAGCTGACTGGGAAGAAGGTCATGACCAGAATGTAACAGGATGGAAAGCTTTACTGACAATCTGGTCTCAGGAAAACCAGAGAAACAGGTCCCAGCCATCTCCTGGCAATGTAGGTTCTTGGATTTCTTTTCCAGAAGATGATTTTTGGGAGAACTTTTGCCCAGTTGGTGTTCAGGCAAGTTCCATCCTGTACTAGTTCATCTCCCCGCCCATCTGACTGAGGTTTTATCTGTTCAGGCCATAGTCATAAAAGGACTGAGTCTTGGACGTCTACTTGCAAAGCTCTGTAAGACCATCCCTCTACCCCTTGTTCAGCACATATAAAAACATTATAATGAAGTGACTCAAGCAACATTCCCAGGCACTCAACAGCAGTTAGTAAAAGCAGAATTGACTGTAAAATGTGACATGCTTATAAAGGTCGCATTAAGTTCATGTTTATTGAGATTGCCCAAAACACCACAGAGCTCAATGCTTATGTATCTTGAAATAAGTATAACACTAACTTTAGAAGGTGCATCTGAGTGTATCTGAGTGTTTGCTTAGGTTTTCCAATGCATTCTGTAAGAAGGATAACTGCCTAAGTATTTATGGTTATCAATGTTAAAAACCTGAAAAAAACCAGAATGTATGTGGCAGACAGCGAGAGGGAGAAGATGGGTAGGTGGTGATGGCAGAAAGAGATGAAAGGGCAAAACAAATCGACAGTTTGGGAGGAACTCTGCTTCAAAGGGGGCTTCTGGACAGCAAAGTGGAGGAAGGGAGCCCCTAGAAGGGAATCCCACAGGAGACAGGTAGATGACATGCATGTGAACTGGGTAAGTTAGAAGCAATAGGGAGGATTGGGGCTGAGAGGTTACAGCAAAGCCCACTAATATTCAAACTTTAAAACAAACAAAACTGTACCTGACCACAAGGTGTCTGTCCTGGGAACCAGTAAACACCTCTCTATTCACTTCCACATAGGAAAGTTCCAAATCCCTGTGAGGAAACTTAAGCATGTTACATTAATGGTCTGAGTTAATGAATCATTCATTCAATATGAACTAAATATCATTCTAGATAGAGAGGCAAACATTCTAATTGCTATAAACTTAACTTCTCCAATAAAATAGAGATGTTAATTCCTGATTTACCCATCATTTAAAATTTAAAAAATTTATTATTAGTGTGTGTTTGGAGTACATAATGGTTACATTCATTGTGGGGAACTGACATCATCAAAACTAAAAATTTCTATTCTTTAAATAATACAGTTGAGAAAATGAAAAGAAGACAGGCATAGTGATGCAATTTCTTCCTGTGATGGAAGAAACCTTATGTAATCACCACAGTCACACCTGCCTGGGCACCTGAAAGAGAGGTTGTGTGGTTATTTTCAGCAGAGCTGACTCACTCTCCCTGTTTAGTATGCTCTATGCTAAGTTTGTACTGCTGTGGGGCCATCTAGGGGAACCTCTAGTTCTTCCTGCCTCATGTGGTGGCCATGCCACCCCAGGAAGCTCCTGTCACTCAGTTTTTCTGTCTGAGGAACAAGTAGATTAATAGTTCCCCCTTTATTGAGTTGTCATGAAAATTAACTGAATTAACTTGCAACTAATTGGTTAGAATGTCAATAAGTGAAAGAACTCTTGCCTATCATGTGGGAGGTCCGGGGTTCAATCTCCAGCACAACAAAAAAATAAAATAGGGGGGGGGGAGAAAGAAAGAAAGAAAGAAAGAGAGAGAGAAAGGAAAAGAAAGGAAAGTGAGCAGAGTATTGGCACAGATAAGGGCCACAGCATGGTATTAGATATGTTCATAGTCTTCTTGTGAATATTCCAAAAATTTTAAGCAATGCAAGAAAGGTTGGTGAGTATTATAAACTATGAATCATAATTGTTATGGTGTTGATTCAGATAACGCAGGTAAATATTAGAACCACAACAGAAATTAAGTTTTATTAATCCAAAGCATAAGCCTCCTGCTCCATTGCCTCTGTTAATCAGTGCTTGCTGTATTTCCAAAAGTTCTTATCCATGACTACAAAAATTTTTTAAAGCTGTGAAAATGGAAGGTTTTATTATTTTTCATTTGAGTGCAAAATTGGACCTAACCTTAAATTATTTGGTACCTGAATGAATTATCTATTGACACCAACAAATTATCAAAGTTGCCTAAAATAGTACAAACATATTGGCATAAGATTATTTTGATCTGAAAAGAAATGAGAAAATAAACATACAACAAAAACTTTCTACACTCTCCCTCTTTGTCTAAATTGGTAAAGATTTTCTCCTTCCATTCTCTACCAGAAAACTCAGATGTTAATTACTAGAGACAGCAGCCTGAGATAGTAGCAAAGGAAATTTTATAACAAACCTTGTAAAACCAGTCTTTGTCTTTCTTATATATTTGCCTTCCCACAATTTGCCACTCTAGAAACTAAAACTCCTTTTCTAAAAGCGACCTTTGTTTCTTTTCTAAAATTTTATCATTCTTTTGTTAAGATGTCCTGTAAGCCCATGCATTACGTATCTCTTGAATATTCAGTTGTCCATGTGTGATACACAGGCTAAAAAATTTATGAGTGCTGTTTCCTTGCTTCTGTCTTGTTTTGGTTGGGTTTATAGGAACATAGCTGGAGAATTTAAGATATACTCCCCTAAAATATCCTCAGTTTTGTTTGTTCTCTGTCCTCATAATTCTAGTACATGGGGAAAAGGACCACACTGAGAAGTTTGACTTTGCCTGCTCTCAGAATTGTTTGCTCATTTATGAAGGTTTACAGAGAAAAAGAACTTGCCTGGCAAGCGCAAGGCCCTGACTTTGATGCTCTGTACCAAAAAAAAAAGTGATAAAATGAGCTTTAATTGCTTCTTTAACTACTACTGAGCCCATTGTATGACTATAACTAATAGTTTATTTTGTTCTTGTTCATAAACTTTTGCCTAATAAGTACACACACACACACACACACACCCATATATTTTTTTTAATTTATATCTTTTCTAACTTCTGCAAACAGGCTGCACCTTGTAGTCGCTTTCATGTTCCTGGGAATGTGGGCAAGTCTTTGCAGGTATGTACTAAGAAAGGAATACATGTATGTTAGGGGATATACACTGCTTATTGGACTCCAAACACCAAACTGCTATCCAAGGGGCCTTTCTCTCCCCACAGCCCAACTACACACTGTCAGTGTGAAATGATATCCTGCTGTTTTAATTTGCATTTTCTGCTCTTTTGATTGGTTGTTTTGTAGTTTTTTCTTCTTCCTGTTATGTTAGTGAACAGAAAACAGTTTGAGACAAATGAATTCAAACTCTTACCTGCCATTGAGGTATTTGCATTGTCATGAACACTCTCTTATTCATACATTCTTCTTGGAGTTAAATCAATTTTGGCATAGCTATCTCCACCTTTTTCTGAAGGAAAAACATGGGTAAAGTCTATCAGTTTAATGCTTCACTAGATGTATAAGGGGAATACCAGCACTCCAACATGTGTGAAAATAACAGTGAATTTTTGTTCTTTGACAGGGGGTGGGCAGAAGGTGATGTATGGGTTGATATTCCTTTTATTTTAAGAATACCTGGGTGAATTTTTCAATGTCACTGGCCCATCATTCCTCAAATGAAAATGCCCCAGGGATAGGTGACACTGTGGTCTAGGATGGGGATTGGGAGCTGATACTGAGGTCCTGGACCCCAGCACACTTTCCCCTGTCCCTCCCTTCCTGTCTTCTTTAAATACCCTGTAGCCTGGTCATGGTGAGACAAGAGCCCCTATAGCTGTGCCTTTACACATGCAGGTTAAGTTTATGCATCTCTACTGGGGTGTACTGTTCACCTCCAGCCACTTTCACCACCTAAGCCATTGCTGGAATTTAGCATCTTACTTCTCAGACCCAGGACTTAGAAGAACGAAAAAGTAAAAGGTTTGTATCAGAACTAGAATTTTTGATAAGGTAAATTAAGAGAGTGTGGGTTGGAGTGGAGATAGAATCCAAAACTGGCCTTTATTTTTTCAAAGTAAATTTTACTGAGAGGAGTCACTTTACTGGTATGGGTCTCTATTGGCCTCTAGAGTCCCTGCAGAAAGTGCATCTTCCTCTGCTCCATTTCCAGATCCTTCTGCAGAGTCTTTCATGCTATAGTTCCTCACAGTACACACAGTGTGAAGCAGGACCTGTGCAGGTGTTTGGTTGAACAGTCCCAGAGCAGAGAAAAATCCATGATAACACAGAGAATGGGGACAGGAATCTGAGCATCCTGATGAATGTCAGGGTAGACTCTTTGGATTGGAATCAGCAAAGATCTATGACAAACTATTTTGGGAATGAATACCACTGTAAAGGCTGTGTTTCAGGGTCATAATCTTAGGCTTTGGGGTCAATCCTCTCAGGCCTTGGGACTATGACCCTGCCTAGGCCCTGAGACACACTCACCTTGTAGCCCTGGCACAAGTCCTCCACCTTGGTGCTATGGTGCCCTTTCATAGTGCCAGCAGATGAGCTGGCTGTCATCTCAGAAGAGCTGGAGCTGCTCTCCATGGGCCTCACACACCAGCTCATCCTCTCTCTTCTCCATCTGTTTGAAGAGTCCAATGAGGCTTCCCAGCTGCTTGTTGACCCAGAGGCTGTCTATGTGAAATGGTGCCCAACACAGAGGACAGAAGCGTATCATCTGTCCCGGATTGTGCTGTGCCCCATAGAGGTAGTGCTCTGTGCACAACTCGTAGTAACAGTGCCCATATTGAATGTTCACTGGGTTCGTCATCAGGTTTGGGCAGATGGAGCCAGTGGTGATCTGTTTCGTCTTGTTGATGCCATGATTTTACCTGCAAAGTTTCAGTATTGGATCTAGAGGTAGAGATGAAGCAGGTAGAATTTCCACAGGGATAGAAATACAGTTTTCTTGAGCCTGTGTGCATGCCCTCCACAGGTCACATAGGGCTCTCGCTAAAAGAATGAAATGGTCAGAGTTTATTTACAACATGTACAAATGTCTAGCTATGTTGTCTGATATTACAGCCACTGCCATTCACGGCCATTTAAATATAACTTAATGAATATTTTAAAAATTTAACTTCAGCTTCTCCATTTTGCTATCCATTCTTCAATTGCCCAGTAGATCCCTGTGGCTGGTGTTAATAGGGCAGGCCAGCCATAGAACATCCCATCACTGTGCTGCCTGGAGTAGGAGCCACAGTTTAGTGAGGGAGCATAAAACTCCTTCCCACTCTAATGAGCATCAAGAACAATTAGCACCAGAATTATCACTTTATAACTGGTGGTAACCCTCAGCCAATTGGGTGGTCTATGGAGGATGCCACTGAGACAGCAGATTGTACCTCACCTTCACAATGACCCCCACCCCACACAGGACATCAGATTTATAAAGTCTCAGTGAGGCTCAACCAGTAAGGGGCAAAAGTAACAAAGACATTAAAAACTCTTGGTTTATTCTTTCTGTGTTCCCTCCCTGAGCTGAGGAAAAATAACTGGTAAGAGGCTGGGGTAGGGGAAATGGGCCCCGGGACCCCATTATTCCTGGGGATGGAGCTCTAGAGAACTAGGGAGCTTACTGTCTTCTCCAGGTCAGGGCTTCCTCCAGGAGAAGTGCAGGTGATGGGAACACAGGGAGGGGACAGAGCCTGGTACACAGGGAACATAGAAAGGAGATAGGGATCAGGCCTCTGAGGGACCTGGGGTGCTGGGCACCCTCATGTCCACTCCTGGGAAGCTGCCAACCAGACACTGTGAGGAGGGAGCAGGAGCCACATCTGTACCCATCTCTGGCAGGAGAAGCTTCTGGGAAATCCTCCCTATCTTCTCCCATCTCCACACCAGGGAGATTTTCTGGGAGGGCAACAGAATGGGCTAAAGTTTAGATGCTGGCTTTTCTGCTTAAATGGCAGAATCTGGTTTTAAAAACAGGAATTCAGCTGGGCTTAGTGGTCTACACTTTAAATCCCATCACTAAGAGAGGCTGAGAAAGAAGAATCTCCTAGGTTCCAGCCCAGCCTGGCCAAATTGTGGTCTTAGGGAGATTCCATCTAAAAATAAAAACATACATGTCTACATACATACACGCACACATATTTACATATTTATATGCATACATGTTTACATAAAGGGTGGGGAATGCAGGCCAATGTGCTCTGGGTTCAATCTTTA